CAGCAATCAAGTATGGATCACATGCCGGACAAGATATTGCTCAGGATGATTCTCCATTTGTTCACAGCACCTGTATATAGTTTACTTTATTACACTGTTCGTGAGCCCATAACCATGTTAACACTATGCAATTCGGGCGGGTTATATGAGGGTTTTTAAAATTGCATGTACCCTTCAAGTGTGGACCAGGAAATCTATGTTGCGAAGGTGCTCTCCTTTAAATATCCTACTTAGCTGTAAGTACCGTTCTGTTTTCACGCCAAATCCAACACAGAGTTGTGTTCCACATTCAATGCTGTCTTATTTACGGAACAAGTGCAAAAAATGCACAAAAAACTGTACAATTTGACTCCCTTCAAAATCACTTGATGGGAAAGGAAATAAAGGCGATAGGCGAGACAACGCAAGGTTGGGTATTCTTTAACTAGCTTACCTTTATACAGTAGTCTAATGTAAACGACAGAGGGCTTGGTGACAGCTGCAAATCATGTGTCGCATACGTAGCTTCACTTTGGTCGCACCGCCACAATCTGGATCTCTTGACCCACACCCATAAGTCCTTATGTCTTCCTTCTCGCAAACTTGCTAATGGCAGCGTCTGAGAGGAACCTGCTGCTCTTTTCCTTTTTCATAATGATACTCGATGTATATTCATGAGCCGCTTTTAATGGGATTTTACTCTTGTTGTTAAGGAGAAGAACAAGACCTTCGGTGAAAACTGTACTTATGCTGTATTAATGTACACACATATAAAACCATTATACCACTACATCTCCTGTGCAAAGCATAGTTTCCCCGTGGGGTCAATGAGGTTTCGATGAGGTTGATTTCTTGGTTGCTCTATGTACGGACATGCGACCCTTTTATAATACTACTATACTTTTACTCTTTTACTAATATATAGATGTTACAGCTCAACGGCATAAATACGTATGTTCTATTCCACTTGTATGTGTGCTATTCAGAACTGCTTTCGTTGTACAGCATTGTGAATATCCCAGCTGATGTTCTAGCTTATAAACCCCTACCTCAAGCTAACAAAATTGCATCTATGAAAGCCTGTTACATCAACTCGACCAGTGCACATCTCTTCTCTTCCCCAACTCACCCTTCAAATATGTGATTCGTTGCTCTCCATACCAGCCAAATTGCGCCATGATACTTGTTAATAAAGGATAACAAATATTAAAATATTTCTGCAAAAAACTTTTAGGCTATTCCACTGAGGAGGAGGGGTGCTTGTGGTGGTTGAACTGCTTCGATCCCAAATCGGCTTGTGAAGTCCTTTGAGGCTGCGAGCTGTTAGCGGCCTCTTTCCTAAGCCATTTCTTTGAGTTTTCATCATTTTGTACCGGTTCTTGTAGTAGATAACGCGAAGAAGCCAATGTA